AAATGAGTAATGGAGATTGGAAGAGTGGCAGAACAATAGATCAGAAGTCTTAGAAGCAAAGGATTGCTGGAGATGGTACAATAAAGAATTGATCTGGAAAGATAGGAGGTCTGTCCAGAGAGTGAAATGGATGAGTGATTATGAAGAATTTACAATTACTAAAAATGACAAAATAGGGAATGACCCTGAGAATACATGACTAAGGGAGGGTGAATAACAAGCTCATTGGACAGAATAATGGTCTGTTTTCTTCTCTTGCCAACTCAGAGCCTGAGACATAGTAGGCACTCAATAAACATCTATTGAATGAATGGGAATAATTGACAACTATCTTCTTAGCAAATTTGATTAATTTCCTGTCTTCTCTGTTCCATTCCATTTTCTCTTACCCCAGGATTTCTCAGGCAAAATTGTTTTAGATCAAAGAGAATTAGCATAGGTGATCCTTGGCACAACTGCAAACCTACAAAATTTCTAATCGCGGCTCTTGCTTTTCTTTCAGTGCATATTTAACACCTTCACATGCAGAGACTTCCAGGGTCCCAGTGGTCCCACTGTTTCCTGTGGAAACATTACCAATCTCAGGAAGGCTGAGAATGGTGTCTAGGGTCAGAATTTGTATTTGCGAAATCAGCCCAGGAAGGCACAGCTGCTTTGCCAGTCTTTGCCCTGGATAGGCGTGGGTGGGAGTGTTGGGTCAGCGGGAAAGTCTCACCAAAGACCAGTCTGTTTCCCTTTCTTCCTCTGTTCTGAGAGCACAGGCTGCAGTCCTGACAGGGAAATCCCAAAGTGAGTAAGGTCCCCAATACAGAGAAAAGAGAGTGAGAGGTGCCTCACATGCCCTGCACCTGGGGGAATACCTCCCCATCTACACCTATTGTTGGGAGGCTGGTACCATCACCCTCAAAGGATGGATGCCTGTGAGTTGGACCAAGGTCTAATAGTAATGATTCTGTCATCTTTTCCCTTTAATTTCTGTTTTAATTAACTTTATCAAAGTATAATTTATACACTATATTTAATTAATTTTATTGAAGTATAATTTACAAGCTATATACCCTATATACACATTTCAAGTTCAATAAGTTTTCAATACCCCAATTAAGATATACAACATTGCTATCACCCCAGAAATTTCCCTGTACTCAATTCTCCCCTACTCCTACCGCAGAAAACCGTGGCTCTATTTTCTGATACTATAGATGAGGATTTGCTTATTCTGAAATCTTATATAAATGGAATCATACAATATTTAGGGTCTTCTTTAGGGTCTAGTTTCTTTTGAGATTCATCCATATTATTGCTTTTTTTATGCTGATTAATATCCCATTGTAGGTATGTACTACAATTTATTTACCTTTATTTACCTACTCACTTGTTAATAGCCATTTGTGTTGTTGGCTTTTTTTTTTTTTTTAATTTTAAAAATGAACCAGTAGTTAAGCTTCATTTAGTACCAGGCACTGAGTTAGGCCTGGAGATACTGACCACCACTGTCATTTACAACTGGCAGGAAAAATAAAGTCGATAGATAGAATTTTTAACATTTTTCTCCTGTATATTGTCTTTAGTCCAGATTCTTTGCATCATCTCTGTGGGCAAGCTCAGGTAGATGGCAGGACAAATGGCTAGACAGCCAGCGAAGTATGATGGAATAGACACAGAAACTTGACTTGCCTGCTTGCTGTAGGATTCTGTTTATTTTGAACATTTGAGTTTATGTCAGGTGGTTTTTATATCATGCATTAATATGGTTGCCCCAATTTTAAGCTGGAATGGGGTTACTCAGGAGTTCTTGGTGATCTGTCAGATGGCTCATGAACTAAACTAGTTTGGGGCCCACTAATTCCAGAATCAAGCTCTGCAGAGGCTACCAGAGTGGGGTTGCATTTGCCTTGGACTCCAGCCCCATTACCCCTGTCAAATAAAGTACGGCGATCACTTACTGTCACTTTGAAGAACATCAGAACTTGATATGCTTCATCAGAGCCACGCTGAACACATCTTAAATTCTCCATTCCAACTATATGCACTCTGTTAGAAAAATAAAGCCAAGCCCTGCATTTTTTGAACAATATGGTTTCCCAAATGCGAGTTGACTACTTCATCTGAGGCTCGAGGGAAGTTAACAGCCAAATCTGTGTTCTCGAAGATAGAAGTGTCTGGCTGGGCCTTAGGAAGAGACCACTATTTCCCCAAATTGTGTGTTTTGTACTTTAAGGAAAATTTAAGAGATTTCTAAGGGTAATATTGACAATGCAGGAGTTTCACATTATAACATGCTGGCTTGACAGAAGATGCTATTCTACAAAGAGCCCTTTTATTTACAAACACCCTTAGACTTTTCTTATTTCATGTGATCTTTACACCCACCTTATGGGCAGATGAGGCAACTATTGTTATCCCATTTAGCAAAGAGGGATGTTGAAACACAGAGGAATGAGCAGGGCTGGGACCAGAGTGAACAAGTGACCAGTCATTGCAAGTACAGTGTGGGATCCTGTCTTTATTTAAAATGTTGATGATTTGTTCATGATGAACTTTTTACATTAACTTTCAGTTTTTAAATATTGTGTTAAAATGTTATTTATCTTGTTTACTGAATCTTATGCACCTCAGGCTAGTGCCTCAATTGCTTTGTTCTAGTCATGGCCTGTAGGCTGAATGTATTAACTTGAATCCTATGAAGTGTCATTTATCACAGGTCAAAAGGGATAAATATCAATAATTTCATATGCTTCAACCTAATGGATCCTCCCAGGATGGAGTCCTGAGGGCCCACATGGATCTCCATGCTACTTGTGACCACTTCATTATTCTGCACAGGGGTCCTCAGCCTGGCTGTGCATTAGAACCAGCTATGGGGCTGCTCTTAAAACCAGAGCCTCAGGTTGGAGGTAGGGACTGGCATGTGCGTTTTCAAAAAGCTCCACTGGTGTGAACCTCTGGATTACAGTTCCTGGATTTAACTAGGGGTAGAAGCAGGGGCTTCTGGATTTGAATTCCGGCACTTTCTAACCACAAGATCTAAGGCAAGTTACAAGTTGCTGTGAGTGTTGAGTAATGTATATAAATGTCTAGCACAGTGTCTGGCACCTAATAAACCCTGGATAACAGTTAATGGTTCTATAAACTATTACTGTATACTGAGGTTCAGAGAAGTTAAGTAAGTTACCCAGGGTCACACAGAAAGATAATGAAAGAGCTAGGTTTGGGTCCCAGGTCTGTCTGGCCCCATAGCCAGAGCCAAAACAATTACACTTGACATCCACTAAATGTTTTCTCCAAGGATGGTGGCACTAGGTAATTAGCGCACAGGATTTTCCACTGAGCCCCTTCCCCACCCCAACAAATGAGAATACCCTCTGCTGACCAGGCAGAGAGAAGAGACAGTGTGTTGCCTAAGTGAGTGCGTTTCTTTGAGGGATTTCTCTCCTGCGGGAGAAGCCCCCTGAAACCTCCCATTATCTTGTGTGGTCCACCAGAGCTACCAGCTGCCTTTATTTTCTCACTTTTAGTTCTTCCCTTTTAACCTTTTCTGTCCTGGCTTCTGCTCCTAGTCCTTAGCCAAAACCAGAGACTTCCTGAATATTGAAATTGTGGGTGCCACTGGAGACCTCTGTCTCATGGGACACTGCCAGTAACTCACTTTCCTGAGTTTCTTTTCCCTTTTTCTTTCTGCTATGCCACAGGGTAAATAAAGTGACTTAGCCAGCTTAGCCTCATCTCCTGCCACCTCTCTTCACCTCTTACATTCCGAATGGTCCAGAAGTTTTTGGTTCCCTTGCCCCCAATCCATCCTGCCTCTGTGAGGCTGCACTTACCATTTTTTCTTACGTGGAGGCCCTTGCCTTGTCTTACTCTCCCGGTAAACCTGCACTCATCCCTTTAAATTCAGATCTGATGGTGAAGCTTCCCGTGGTATTCCCATCCCTGCCCCCAGCCTCCAGGCCACTCAGTAGATTCACAATATCTCCAGTGAAAACATTAGCTGATGATAGTGCTCATTGCCCACTAGGGTGCCACTGTGCATTATTTAATTCATTTAATACACCTAACAACTATTACCTTCTCTCCTATTTTACAAATGAGTAGAGTAAGGCACTTAAAGTTTAAGAGACTTACCCACAGTCACATAGCTGCTATGTGGAAGAGGTAAACTTTGAACCCAGGCATTTGAGCTCCTAGGGTCCATGTCTGAACCACTGTGCCATACAACCTCCCTGGTAGGGTGCACCAGCCTGGAAGACATAGAGGAAAGGTTTCTCACTTCAAGTTGCTGAGATCTTACTGGGGCCAGAGCACACACACAGCACACACAGAACATGAGAAAACTATAAAGGGAAATATAATTAACTGCTAAAATGGGTGGTATAGAGTGGGCTTCTCCAATAGTAATGTGTACATATGTTACCTGGGGATCTTGTTAAACCATACGTTTGGATTCAGTTTGTATGGAGTGGGACCTGAGATTCTATTTCTAGTAAATTCCCAGGTAATGCTCATGCTGCCGATCCATGGTCCACATTTTGAGTAGCAAGGATGAACCCCATGAACAGAAGAAGATCAGATGAGGAAGATTTCAGTGTGGGCTGGAGAGGTCCTGGCGCAGTGAGCTGGGTCTGGGGCGATGGCAGGGTTTGGGTAGCAGAGGTGAGAGACAGAAACATCCTTCCAGGGGTATTCCAGCTTTCTGCTCTCAGGGGCCTGGGAACAGGGATGGTTTCAAGGCCTTGTGCCCAAATCCACCTCGATCCCCCTTAACAAGCAGCTGCACTAAGCAGGAGCTCCACGCGTGAATAGCTCATTTTTCAGAAATGCCCAGTCCTGATCATGGCAGGAAACATTTTGCAAATTCAGAAATCAGAGCCAAAGGGAAGTGCTGGGTGGTGTACAACTAGCTACAGTAATTAGATGGGAACAATCTTTCCCTGACTGGTTCCTTGTAAGGGAAGCATTTCTGCTGGCTTCAGAGATTTGGCCATCTATAAAGCTTAGAGATGAGAAATAAGGACATTCTCGAGGAGGAAGAATTCTTATCTAACACTGAAGAAAGAGCCTCTCTTGACCAAACCACGTTTTCTGCAATGAAGACCTTTGAAATCAGTGGTAAAGTATTACCCCCCAATAATGGCATTGCTTGGTGAAGCAGCCTTTCTGTTGGCAACAGAAAACTGGAAAAGTTAATAGAAAGTCTAGGTTTGCACCATAGACTCTTGCTAATACATTTCTGGAATGCTTCAATGTGGAATTTGTGTAATGCTAATTATAGATACTGTATCTTTAGTATATCACTGTGCTTTTTTTTAGCTTCACAATTTCTCTCAATTGTATTTAAATATTTTCCCTTAGATTAATCCTAATGCTTATTATATGCCCCTCTTTTTTATTAGAGTCTTATTCTGACACACAAATTGTGTGATGAAATGGCAATGCAAAACAAGAGGAATGAAAAAGTTCTACAAAAGTGAAGCCAAATGACTCATATTTGTTTAATAATGTAATTCCTTTAAAATTCTTTAAGGTGACTTCTGTTAAAACTGATGTGTTGATCAGGGGGTGCTTTTCCTATTTCCTGTTGGCTAAGATATGTTCATAGCTTCATAATTAATTTTTTTAGGTTAAATTCAGATTTTAAAAATTCAATCAACTCTGTTGTCTTTATTTTTTTCACTCAGCATCATACAGGTGATGCATTTTTAAAATCTAGAACTTGTAGCATTTAACATCACCAATGAGTGCTTTGATCTCCCATTCTAGAATATCCTCTGGGAACTGTTTTCTGAAGTCGATCAGTCATTCTCACTCCCAGTCTTTTCTAGAAGATGTATGTTCAGGAATTACTACAGCTCTGTATGCTGGCCTGAGTGCCCCTCTTCTCATTCAGCATCTGTTTGTACAGATCACTGGTTGGAATTTATGGGGCTATGAAAATGAAAGGTCTAGTGTGGTGTCTTTAGAAATTTATAGTGTGGTAAGAGAGAAGGCATGCACGCAAATGACTTTAATAATTGTTGGCTATTTGGAACTTCAGGGAATGCAGCATTCTGGATATGTGACTTTTTAAGATACCGAAATGTTCAAGCAAAATTATCCAATCAAACATATTCAGCACCTACTATATGCACAGAGGAAACAAAAATAAGCATGGCCTCCAGCCTCAGAGAGCCTATAGTCATGTCAGTGGTAGCAGGAGAATGGCAGGGTGAGCCCACCTCAATTTGTCATCGGCTGTGACTGATATTTGCACAGGACATTATAGATGAATCTGGTGTGGGGCCCTGAAGGTCAGAGCTGAGACCTCTTCTAAAGTTTAATGTATAAAAGGGATTAGTTAGAGGAAGGAAACAGTGGCTGGGGTAGAGTAGGGGACAATATATTTAAGATATATTCACAAGGAATATTCAGAGAAATATAAACAGCTCCACATTGTTGGGCCAAAATTAGTTGGGGTAGCTCAGTGGAGTTGAAACTAGGATCAATTAATTTTATCCCGAGAGCAATAAGGAGCTTTATAGGTGTTATAGTTGGGCTTGGAGGCGTTGGTTTGCATTTAAGATTACTCACTACCATAGATGGAAGACAAGCTGGAAAGAGTAATGCTGGGACAGAGATAAGCATGGCAGCAAGAGATGATGAGAGGTAGTGGTTGTAAAGAAGAAAAAGGAGAATAGTTTGGAGAAATAGTAAAAGTCAAATCAGGGGGTGGCTCCATAGAGTAGTGGTTAGCATGTCTGCTTTACACCCAGAAGGTCCTGGGTTCGAGCCCCAGGTGGAGCCATGGACCATACCCCGGGTGTGCCAGGCCCCTCGAGTGCACCAGGCCTGGGAGGCGTATGGCGAGTGCATGAGAAGAGACGCCCTGCCTTCAGAGATCCATTTCTTAAAAAAAGGGAGATGGCAACATCCTTAGATTAGGGGTGGAAGGAGCGGGAGGAGGGAGAAGGAAAAAAAGTCAAATTAGTAGGACTATAATGTAGGACTATAATGGTGAGACATGGCAAGTGAAGGAGATGCAAGCATCAAGAGTGAATTTCAGATTTCTGATTTGGGTTATGGATGCCTCTAACTAAATATCTAACCAAGAAACAAAATCACTCCAGTTTGAATGGAAGGAGTATCTCCCTAAATGCACTTATAACTTCCTGTCTTCTCATACAAAGATCATGAAACAAATGAAACTTTCTAGATGAGTGCCATTATAGACAGTAATCCCTGTGAGCCTCTATAATATAATGATCTCCTCGGGGCTTACTGAGAGGAATGAAACTACCTGCTTCAACATTAAATGGTTCCAGGCATCTTTATGTATTGATATATGTCTGGGAAGATTTGCTTTAGTTTTCTGAAGACATTTGAGCCTTTAAGGTCCAACAAAACCCCAGGTCTTTCCTCATGAACTGCTATCAGCCCCATCTCCCACATCAATGATGGAGCATTTGAATTTGAACAAGAGACTACATTTATCCTTGTTGACAATATCTTTCTGGGATGCACTCTCTTCTAAGTTTTTTGAAAAATTTGAACATTTGTCTACCTCAAGTCTTCCTGTCACTCTCCTGATATATATGGTTTCTCAAGAAGTAGTTCTGCCTCCACATCAGCAAGTTCTTGAAGATCCGTGGAATATCATCTCTCACCCTAAGCCCTCAACTATTTTAGGTTTCACATCTTTCTTCGTGATATTTCTTCCCACTAATTTTAGTCTGAAGAACATTCTTCTTGACAAAGAAGACTCCCAAAGATATAGATAGTGTAGTTATGGGTTTTGTTGTTTTAATTAGCATTAAACATTGTCTCCCAGTAGTGGATCTAGCTGTCTCTTTTTCCTGATCTAAAGATAATTTTAAACATTTCCCAACAGACTTTAACCCTGGAGTCCATTCAGGGTCAGCTTTGCTGACATGACTACTATCATTTCATGTCACTGTTCTGACTTTGTTCTTTGTCACATCGCTATTTCTCAACATCTTTTTTTTTTAACTTTTTATTTTGCAATAATTATAGATTCACAGAAAGATGCAAAAAAAAAAAATGTGCAGGGAAATCTCTGTTACCCATACCCAGTTTCCCCCAGTAATGATAACTTACATAGCTGTGGTACAATATCACAACCAGGAAATTGATGTTGGCACACCCACAAAGTTTATTATTTAGATTTCATTAGTTTTACATTCATTCCCTTGTGTGTGTGAACATAGTTCTCTACAATTTTATCATATGCATATATTTGTGTAACCACCACCAAAATCAAGATACAGAATGTGTGTTCAATCACCACAAAAATTTCTCTCATGCTATTTCTTTACAGCCACACATACTCCTCATTCCTCCACCAGCAATCACTATGTCCTGATAACCACTAATTGGTTCCCCATTTCTATAATTTTGTTATTTAAAGAATGTTATGTAGATAGAATTACATGCTATGCAACTTTTTAGGATTGTCTTTTTTTCCACATAGCATAATTTCCTTGTGATCCATCCAAGCTGTTGTGTATATCAGTAGTTGGTTCTTTTTATTAATATTATTCCATGTCATGAATGTACCACAGTTCATTTAACCATTCACCCACTGAAAGATATTTGGGTGGTTTCCAGCTTGGGGCCATTGCAAATAAAGGTGCTATAATCATTTATGTAAAAGTTTTTGTGTAAGCATAAGTTTTCAGTTCTCTGGTATAAATGCCCACAAGTACAATTTCTGGATTCTAAGTGTATGTTTGGTTTTATAAGAAGCAGTTGATTTATTTTTCCAGTGTGAATGTACCATTTTACATTCTCACCAGCAGTGAACAACTATCCAGTTTTTTTGCATCCTTACCAGCAATTAGTATTATTACTATTTTTATTTTAGCCAAACTGATAGGTGTATAATAGTGATATCTCACTGTAATTTTAATTTGCATTTTCCTAAGGTTAATAATGTTGAACACCTTTTTATATGCTTATTTGCCATTTGTATATTCTCTTCGGTGAATTGTCTCTTCCTGTTTTTTTGCCAATGTTTTAATTGGATTGCTTGGGGTTTTTTGTTTTGTTTTATTTTGGTTTTGCTTTTTTTTACTGTATTTTTGAGAGTCCTTTATATATTCAAAATACAAGTCCTTTACTGGATATGTGGGTTGCAAATATTCTCTCTGTCTGTAATTTGCCTTTTTATTCTCTTAAACAGAGTCTTTTGCAAGGCAAAATTATTTAATTCTATTGAGGTCCAACTTATCAAATTTTCCTTTTTTGGATTGTGCTTTTGGTGTCAACTGTAAGAATTCTTCATCTAGCCCTAGGCCCTGAAGATCTTCTCCTATGTTTAATTTAAAATTTTTATAGTTTTACATTTTACAATTAAGTCCATGGTTCACTTTGAGCTGATTTTTTTGTAAGATGTGAAGTTTAGGTCAAGGTTTATTTGTTTGTTTGTTTGTTTTACTTATGGATGGATGTTCAATTGCTTCAGCACTATTTACTGAAAAGGCTATCCTTCCTCCATTAAATTATTTTTGCCCTTTTGTCAAATATCATTTGGGTATATTTGTATAGGTCTATTTCTGTGTTCTTCATTCTGTTCCATTGGTCCATATGCTTATCCTCCACTAATACCACACTGTCTTGATTACTTTAGATTTATTATAAACTTTAACATTAGGTTCTCACATTTTAATATTCTCTTTAAAGATTGTTTTATCTATTCTATGGCTTGTGCTTTTCCATATAAATTTAGCATAAGCTTATCTATATCTATAAAAAAACTTCGCTGGAATATTATAGGAATTGTATTATACCTACAGATCAGTTTGAGGAGAATTTACATCTTTACTATGTTTATCCTTACAATCCATGAACATAGTATGTCTCTGTATCTATTCATGTCTTTGATTTTATTTTTTAAATCAAAATTTTGTAATTTTCAGTATACAGATTTTGTATACATTTTGTTAAATTTATACCTAAATATTTTATTTTATTTGAAGTGATTGTATATACCATTGTGTTTCAATTTTGATTTCCATGTTTGCCAGTAGTATGTAGAAATGGGATTGAGAACAAACATCCTTGCCTTGTTCCCCATCTTAGGAGGAAAGTATTCTGTTTCATCATTAAGTACCATG